AGAAAGAACAAATGAACAGAACCATCAGACAAGCACAGCAGATAATGAGTCATGTTGCTAATGTCAGCAAAGACTGACACACATATACTCTGTAGTTAATAAGAATGCACAGAGCATTAGGCGCAATAGGAACAGATTCTCAACCTCAAAGTCTGTGCATTTCAATTGTGTTCTTGCGAGGAACATGATACAAGATTCCTTTATTGTCACTTTGTAAATGAAAAATATCGGTCAGTCTAATTCAAATTACAAATCTTCGTCAACCAAGCCTCCATTCATTATTTCTTAACCCTGTTATTTCTCATGAGATTACATGTGTCGTAAGGGATCTAAAAAGCAACAAAGCACCTGGTATACTAACTACTACTAAATCCTTTCCGAGCCACTAGGGCTCATAGGGCTGGAGTTTATCCCCAGTTTCTGTAGTGTGAAGCGGATGAGAGTTGTACTCCTCCAGGACGGGACACTAGTCTATCGCAGGTTAGTCCCCAGCAGTTTGCTGGTACCCATTGATACAGCTTGGTGGATTGAAGCAATGTAGGTAAAGTGCCTTGCGAATCTGTACAGCGGAAACTCGAAACCCCGACCTTACGATTGAAAGCCCAAACCTCAACTGCTCGTCGAACTGCCACTAGCACCTGGTATTGACGGATTAATTCATATGGTATTAAACAATCTATTAATTTTATTTCGGGAACCCCTCTCCTACATTTTTAATCTTTGTCTGACCAATGGCGTTTTTCCGGATAGCCTCACATACGCGAAAATTACATCTATTTTAAAGTCCAGTGACAAATCAGATTTTTCCAATTACCGTCCAATCTCCGTTCTTTCAGTTTTTTCTAAAATTCTTGAACGCCTTATTTATGATCACACCTACAAATTTCTTCAAAACCACAATATTTTACACCCTAATCAGTTTGGCTTTAGGAAAAACTAAAACACTACAACTGTACTTATTAAACTTACGAATGGTATTATCAGAGCCTTTGCAATTGGCATTTTCATTGACCTCTTAAAGGCTTTTGATAAAGGCTTTCGATACTACTGACCATAAAATCTTACTATCCAAACTCTTCCATTATAGTATTCGTGTCCCTGCCTATAATATTTTTAAAAGTTACCTTTCCAATCGTAAGAACAATGCACAACATTTAATAATGCCCTGTTCAACTTTCTGCCTATTACTTGTGGAGTTCCACAAGGATCTCTGCTCGGTCCCTTTGTATTTTTGTTATATATCGGCGACATTTGTAATTCATCTAAGTTAATTACGTTTCTCATGTATGCTGACGATACCACTCTTCTGTATACGGATAAAAATATTGATTCACTTTTTAAAGTTTCCAATGACAACATTCCCAACATTCTTAAATAAATATTTTTCTGCCAACAAACTTTCTGTTAATTTGAAGAAGTGTAGTTGTATTTTCTTTCATAATTCCACTAGATTACTTGATAACTATACTGACCAAATAAAAATGAATAATCAAATCATCCCCCTTGTTAATGACACAAAATTTTTGTGCGTTCATATCGATAGTCGCCAAAATTGAAAGAAGCACATCTGATAAATTGAGAACAAAATTTCTAAAAGTATCGGTATTATATATAGATTAGCTTCCTTTACTCCTCAAAACATTCTCCGTATACTTTACAGCTCCTTGATTCTTCCTTATTTTAATTATTGTAATATTGTTTGGTGCACCACTTACCCTTCAAGTCTAACTAAGCTTTTTGTTCTCCAAAAAAAGGTCAATAGGATCATATCGAATTCCCCTCCACGAGCCCACTCCGATCCCCTGTTTTCTTCCCTGAAATTATTAAAACTTAAAAACATTAATTATCTTCAACAATGTGTTTTTATTTTCTCCTGGGTAAATTCTCTCCTTCCCCCTCAATTTCAAACACTATTCCATTTTAATCATAACTATCATAACCATAATACCAGGATCTTCGAATCAAATACAGAACAACCTCCATCCAACATAATATCCTATTCTCAGGTCCGAAGTCCTGGAATAATCTTCCTTTTACAGGCTAAAAAAAACACATGCATTCCAAATATGTCTAATTTTGTTTTATTTCTATCATTTAGATGTAAGCTATTTATGGTTTGATGGGTTTTTTGTTTGAGCATTGTTTCTTGTTTTTGTATTCTTTCCTTCTCTCTTCGCCAGTCCTGTCTATTGTCTTGTGTCGTTAGTTTCCTGTATTTGTGGTCAGCCCACCTCAAGCCTTTGCTTTTCGGGATCATGCCCTTCTGATTTTTAACATGATTATCAAATATACTGTATAAACGAAAAGATAAATAAATGTACATATGAATGAATGAATGAATGAATGAATGAATGAATGAATGAATGAATGAAAAGGTAAAAACACGGTAGATATAACTAAAATGCATCCTCTTTCATTTAAGAAAAAATAAAAAATTGCACATCACCTTTCTTCAAGAAAATATCTTCTGACTTTAAATAGTCATAATTCTTCTGAAATAATTTAAAAAGCTAGAAGTTTATGGTTGTAATAATACAATAGACCAAAAGAGTACAAAATTGTTTTTTTAGGCTAAATGCCTATTCTTTTTACTGGCACATGATATACCTTGAATGCCAAATAAATATTAGTATTATTATTATTACTAATAACAAAATACACAGAAATTATTATATTTTGTACTTTAGCCTGGTAGTTTACTTTACTGCATTATGTGAACCATCAAGGGAAGCAAATCCAATGATGCAATTAATAAAATAATAAATTTAAATTTAAATATTTGTCCTCTTAATTTGTATATATATTATCCAATAAATTTAATAGACAAATAATGTGATACCCTTTTTAGCCAAATTTAATTACTGCTTTTAGGTAGAATAGTATATATAACTTAATTTATTATTATAATATTGCATATATTGTTGATAAATTTTGTATGTAGCTGAAATGTATGTTTTTTTTTGTGATCCTTTTTTGTCACTTTGTAAAGTGATGCAATTCAACGACTTTATGTATCCATGTCAATGTTTTTTTTTAATAAACCAGAAATGAATGAGTGAATGAAAAAAGAAAACATATGTAATAATTATTTTTGATGACTGTTACTAATAATAATAAGATTAATAAAGTGCACATATCCACTGCAGTAGTGCTCAAGGCGCTACAGGCGAAAGAACCCAACCACATAGGGTGTGTTTCTGCTGAATAACGCCAAAAACACATGTTTTTTATAAACAGTTAATTTCCTTCTGAACGCGTTTCTAGTGAAAAGTGCAACTAATAAAAACACAGTAATGCGAGCATTGGCAGGTGGGCGGAGGTTAAACGACGGTCACCAACGGAAGTTGAAGCTGACCTTACTTCTTGCGAGCTACAGCGCATGCTGCGAAAGAAGTAAACAAAACACCACGAAAGTATGAAAAAAGTATGGTATAATAATCTTCAAGAATGTCATCCTATTGGTTTAATTTTTTTCTTCGCCCCGAATTTCCTGCGGACGAGCGATCAAACCAACGAAGAGGTCAATTTGGCTCACCGACGGGTCATGACTAACATAGTATTGCGTTGCAGCTGAAAAGTGTACCACAAAACACATATTTTCTGAACGCGAACCCTATAATAAATGTATGTAAAAACACGCATTTTTAGAACACATTCCTAACCGTGTTTTTGTTTTGTGGCCCTTTTCTACTGGGGAAAAAACATGTTTTTTAATAACTGTTTTTTTTTTGCTTAGCAGAAACAGGCCCATATATCACTCCTCAAATTATTTTAGCTTGGTTAGCTTTGCTGACCTAGTAGAATAGATTTTGCTTTTTTTGTTTTCTCTACAGTGCATAGAGACAATGAAGTATATAAATCTCCAACCATAACTATTACCATCACTGCACCATTTACATGTAATTTGAGGCACTGAGTTTTTCAGAGTTTTCCATAGTGGTTGGTTTAATTTAGGGAAATATCAAATTGAAACAATATGACAATATCATGTCTATTTAAACTAAAACGATCACAGAAAAATTTATTCTTTCTGCAACGTTTTAAGGTTGTTTGGTTTAGGTGTTCTCACTTTAATATATAAATCTTTTATAGAAATTATTCTTACATCATCCATGTAGTCTGTTGTGAAGGGGCTACTTAAGGTGATAAATCTAGTCTCTGATCTCAGTGTCGATTACAAAGATCAAATTGTAAAAACAGTGACTGAGATCATGAATGATGAATCATTTTGGGTTGAATACCAGTGGTCAGCAGTGTCGTTCCATCAATGCTGAAAATGCTAGATTAACACTAAAGCTGATATCCTGAAGCAAAGGCTGTTAAATGCAAATCTATAGCTGTGTCTTATATGAAGTTTTTTTCCTTCCGTCTTTTATTTATCACTTGTTATATCTTTGTTTTCTGTATATGTATCATGATGTAATTCCAATGTTGTTTAATAAAACAAATGACAATTAACTCAAACTTGACTAACTGATCACAGCTTATTGAAGGATAAAAGTTATACAATCATTGATTTTTTTTTTTTATAATACGACAGTATAGGTTTAGGTGATACATGCATATTAAAATTAATACTACAGTGCAGTATATGCTTATAGAGGTAATCTGTATTAGTAAAAAAGAGAATTTGTTTATTTGAATTGTATAATAGACACTCTTGCTAATTATATTTTCTAATTCATATATCATTAAATGTTCTATGCCAAATTAAATTGATACAAAATATTACAATTACATTATGAAAATGTGTTATACATATGTATGAACAAAATAAATAAAACAAATAGATTAATGTATTTAGATTTTTCGCAGTTTCTCATACACATTTTGAAGAAAAATAAAATTATGGCACAAGAGAATTTCTAAGAAGAAAATTAAGGTTTAAATTATTGGAACCAAGAGTTAATACACCTCATGGAAATGAAACTTTGCTGTCCACAAATTAATAACAAAAATAGAAACCAATAGATCATTCCAGCATTAGCTCCACCTCTTGGATATTGTTGCTAAGGCCTCATAAAATGACAGGATAACCTTATGTAAACTTGTGAGTTTGACTGTGCATATTCCTAGCCTAGACCTGCCTATTGGATAACACATAAAAATGGGTATACCATGCTAAAATGTAACTGGATAAAAATGAACCAATCAGACCCTGACAAGAAAGCTATTTAATAAATTTTACTGCCCATAGATAGCCCATTGGTTATACTTACGGTTATACTGTATGCTAGCACACTTTTTGGATTCTACATCTCTGGACTGGATTTATAAGATTCTTCTGGTATTCTATGTTAACATGGTTTCCACAACACTGGACTAGATTAACAAGCTTCTATTGTATGTTAACACTTGATTACTGGCCTAGATATTACTCACCGGACTAGACTCACAGGATCCTAATACTGTTCATAGATTTTATTTCACTACTGTATATTTATAATTTTCCATCTTTTTGCTGTAGATGAATTAATTATTCATTTAATTTTACCACTGTTCACAAACATTACAATCAAATTTGAACATATTCTTTAATTTTGAATACAATGTTGTTGTCATTGTCAGTTTGTAACTTTGGAGTATTCTTCATCATTATATGCTGTTGCCATCTTTCTTCATCACAAAGCATTGCCCTGAGCATAAAAGAGGAGACATTTTTTGTTGGTCAAAAACTTACTATTATGTGTGAATTTAATTCATTTCAAAATCGTGTTGTTAAAGAACATATCAGACTGCTACATAATGCCACACGTGTACCTGAAATAAATATATCTTTCATTCAAGAAATTACTGCTGCTGAAGGCCAATTTTTACATATATTCTACAGCATATACAAATTTGTGAAACCAAGTCTCTCAGAGAGAGACACAGGATCATACCAATGTGCCTACCATGATACTAGTACTTCTTCAGATATATATATAAGGTCCAGCAAACAAGAAATTAAAGTTTGGCCAATTCCACAGAATCCCATATGTCAAGCCTCTCAACCATACTACTTTGAAGGAGATGAAGTGATCTTGAAATGTGAAGCCACAACTACATACCCATCTCTTAAATTGCAGTGGACCTCAGAAGAAAACCCCTCTGAAGAAAATCCTCACTACAATATATTCATTGCCAAGACACATATAGATGGTAAATCTTATCTATGTATCATGACTGTACCTACATGGAGTACAGTAGCACTTGTTTGTAAAGTTGTTATTTCAATCAAAAAAGTCTCCATCAATGTAACTGACTTTACAATAGGACAGCCAGCAACACTGCAATGCATTACGGTTAATAATAACATCTCTCTCAACTACTTGTATACCTGGACATCAGAAACAAGCAGTGTGCAGGAAGCAATCAAGCTGAACAGAATGCAAAACTTTAGTTGTAATAACAGCAATGGTAGCAACAGCAACAATAACACAAACTGCCAATTCAATAAAAACAACAGCAACATTCTAGCCATTGAAAAGGTAACAGATGACATGGACAATGCTGACATCACTTGTAAAGTTGAAGGGCTCAACAAAACTATTGGCAGCAATTCAATTACACTCAGTGTCAATGGAATATCTACAATTATATCTACAACTGTATCTTCACCTGTATCTACATTTGTATCTACATCAGTATCTACATCTGTATCCACATCTGTATCTACATCTGTATCTATCACAAAAAAATCATTACAAAATCTAACTACTGCACATATGGCAGACACCTTACATGACAGCTTGATTATAATACTAATTATTATTGGATCCATCTTCATGATGATATTCATTTGCTTCTTTGGAGTTATTTGCTGCCATCATTTTAAGAGATCATCACATCGAGACCTTGATGTTGGCACTATTCAAGCGATTGTCAGTTATGAAAATGATTCTTACAAAACAGTGCCATTGTCTGTCGTCGCTCCTTCGAACTCTGTCAGTAATCTCAGACATCACCTCTCACAACAGTTGATACCGAGTAATCCAATGACCTCAGCACCGAGCATAGTATCACTACCAGATGAAAGAAGACAACAACGTATACAGGCATCATGGGATATTAAGCCTCCTCTACCACCGATCAACTCAATCTCATCATTTAAATCTAGTGATGATGGTGCTGAATACACAGACAATGCCATTGTTGACATGTTAAGTGACCCTATGTATGATGAGATAAATGATTTGAAATACAAGAGAGATAAAAAGTCATTAAAACAAAAAGAGGATTTTAGAACTGAAGTTGACCAAGACACAACTGGTTTTACTTCTTCAGAGAGAAAACGATCTGGATTCAACCCACATATGGATACACCATATGAAGAGATTAACATTAATAATGATATAAAGACAAACTATGAGAGGACAATAACAGAGAAGACATGCACGTCAACAGAAAAAAAGAGTGTCGATATCAATGAAAAAAGTTATGATGAGACCAGTGTAGTAAAAGTAAAAGATTTCACAAAACATAATTCCAGTATTTATGCAGAAGTATACAAAAAACTAAAGCATGAAACAGTTGCAAAGGCATGTGTAGATGTCAATGATGAAACAATAACGAATGTGGAAAAAGAGACAAATGATTGGGATTTTGAGGAAGTGAATTCATCTTTGATTGAGACACCAAATTTGAACCCACAATCAAATAAAAATTTTAATGATCACATTTATCCAGCTGCCAGCGAACATATCTATTCGCAAGTTAAAAGAAAGCTAAAAAATAATGAAACAGAGAACGAACCATACCTAGATATATATGCTGAGACAGTAGAGAACTTTGAGAATGAAGGAAGTGAAACTGGAGAGAGCAAAGAGTTTGAACCTTTTTTAATAGAAAGAACGAACAAACAGAAGCATCAGACAAGCACAGCAGATAATGAGTCTTGTTGCTAATGTTAGCAAAGGCGGACACACATATACTCTGTGGTTAATAAGAAAGCATGGAAGAGGTTTACGCAATGGGGACAGTTTCTCAATTAACTTCAGGGTCAGGGTTTCAATCCTTCGCTGTACACGGCTGTTTCATTGCATACATAATCGCGACATTAAGTGTTTAGAACGCGCTTTTTATTACAATAGGACGCGCGCACGTTCCATGCAGCTACTTCATGAACTTCTTTAGGATAGTCCATAGCAACAATGGCTGCAAAATTTCATGAAAATATGTATTTCGATTTTATAAAAATAAACTAATTTAATAATAAAATGTATCAAGTATACGTTGGTATTTTATAGGAATAGGCTTTATAGATGCTGTATTCACTGAGATACCGTATAGAATTCTAGTAATTATATGAGTTTGAATGACTTTATTTTCTGCACAATTGCCGTTGAATTGTAAATATACAGCACCCTAGTGCCAATATATAAAAATCGTAAAAGTAAACAAAACTCTTTCGCATGTAACTGTTGTCTATAATTTTTTAGAGTTAATTTGCAAAGCTACCCTAAGAAATAATTATGTTGTTATTACATTCAACATACTTTTGTTAGGAAGTAAGACCTATAATCACTTTTTCTTCAACCTATTTTTTGTCTCTTTAGTATGGAACGCCTCCTCTGCCTTCAGTTCACAATCATCATGCAGTAATTATCAATCATCATGCAGTCATTACCATTCACTATGCAGTCATTACCAATCACTATGCAGTCATTACCATTCACTATGCAGTACTTACCAATCACTATGCAGTCATTACCAATCGCTATGCAGTACTTACCAATCACTATGCAGTACTTACCAATCACTATTCAGTACTTACTAATCACTATGCAGTGCTTACCAATCTCTATGCAGTACTTACCAAACACTATGCAGTACTTACCAATTACAATGCAGTAGAATATGCGCAATTTATACCGCCACCTATAGACAACATTGAATATCACGTGAAGTTTAGTAGATGGCTGTAAAAGCAAGTTTATTCAAACTGCTATTATTTACTCAGTGTACTACATATATGATTCTAGAGTTGCTTCTTGTTTCTCACCACCCATCTTACTACCATACTCACTAGGCCTAGGCTACTAGATAGTCCACATGCTTGACTTTTACGAAAAATATATTTGTAATATTAATATTTGCCCTATTAAAAGGGCAGACGTTAGGCCATAAATTTAGTCTCTATAAGTATTATTACTAATAGGCCTAGTATGTGGCCGCAACCGTCAAGCAAGTATTTAATAACAAATAAAATATCATTACTCCAGTATTAAGCTAGTTGGAGTTGACTCACTCTATCAGACAATCAATATATTATATTAAACAATTATATTAAATACAATATTTTAAAATTTGCATACTGGAGTAACGTGATTACGGTAACACAGCATATAGTTTAATAATGAACAGAAAGAAAGAAATCTTAGCAGATTTTATTAGTTCTTTAGGGCCTATTGAGATAAACGGTATGTTTTTTATCAATGTTTAATGACTGTACCTACATGGAGTTGTAGCACTTGTTTGCAAAGTTGTTATTTCAATCAAAAAAAGACTTCAAGACTTCAATGCCATAGACTTTACACTAGGACAGCCAGCAACACTGCAATGCATTGTGGATAATAATGACATACCTGAGCTTAAATATACTTGGACATTGGAAACAAGCAGTGTGCATGAAGCAACCGACCTGAACATAATCCAAAACTTTAATTATAATAATAGCAATAGTAGCAGCAGCAACAACACAAACTGCCAATTCAATAATGACAACAGAAATACTCTAACCATTGAGAGTGTGACAGCTGACATGATCAATACTAACATCACTTGTGAAGTTGAAGGGTTCAAAGACATTGGCAGTGCCTCAATCACATTCAGTGACAATAAACTATCTACTACTGCAACTTCAACAATGTCTTTAGAAAATGTAACTACTGCATATGTGACATCAAAAGTGTCTACAACACTCCACTCTTCACAGTCAGCACTGAAAGATAAATTTGAATTCATCATAATATTAAATTTCTATTATTTTTGGATCCATTTTGATGATGACATTCCTTTGCTTGGTACCATTCAAGCGATTGTCAGTTATGATAATGATTCTTACAAAACAGTGCCACTGTCTGACGTCGCTCCTTCAACCTCTATCAGTAATCTCCCATGTCACCTCTCACAACAGTTGATACCCAGTAATCCAATGACCTCAGCACTGAGCATAGTATCATCCAGATAAAAGACGACGACAACGTAAACAGGCATCATGGAATATTCGGCCTCCTCTACCACCAATCAACTCAATCTCATCATTTGAATCTAGTGATGATGGTGTTTTATACACAGACAATGCCATTGTTGACATGCTAAATGACCCTATGTATGATGAGATAAATGATTTGAAATACAAGAGAGATAAAAAGTCATTAAAACAAAAAGAAGATTTTAGAACTGAAGTTGACCAAGACACAACTGGTCCAGCTTCCTTCAGGCCAAACTACCCTAGAATCAAGTCACTAATTGAGACACCATATGAAGAGATTAACATTAATAATGATAAGAAGAGAGACTATGAATGGACAATAACTGAGAAGAGATGCACGTCATCAGAAAAAATAAGTCTTGATATCTATTATGAAAAAATACCAACTTTGAAAGTGAGTTATGAAACCAAACAAACAACCTGTGTAACTCATATCTCACA